AATATTAGCCATAAAAAAAGAAATCTTGTCATTTCCAACAAAATGAATTGACCTTAAGGGCATTGTGCTACATAAAATAAGTCAGAAAAAGATACAAATGCCATATGATCCTCAGGTATATGTAGCATCTGGGGAAAAAAAGCTTGTAGACACAGGGACAGAGTGGGTGGTTGGGAGGTGAGCAAAATGATACAGAAGATCAAAAGGTATAGACTTCCAGTTATATAAAATAAACAAGTTCTGGGATGTAATGTACAGCATGTTGGCTATAGTTAATAATATACTGTATGTTTGAAAGTTGCTGAGAGAGTAAATCTTTCAAGTTCTCATCACAAGGAAAGAAAACAAAACTAACTCTGTATGGTAACAAATGTTAATTAGACTTATGGTGATTGTTTTGCAATATATACACATATCAAATCATTATATTGTACACTTGAAACTAATCTTGTGTTAATTATATCTCAATTTTACAAAAAAAGTGAAAAGATTAAAAGATTTCTTGGAAGTTATTTAAAAAAAATATTTTCTGAACAGATATATGGTGGGCTGAAAGGACTCATAGTAAGCATGGAGGCCTATGATAATGATACACAACATGGATATTACTTAACTTCCTATGTAAAAATTTAAATCAAGCACATGAAAAGGTGCGCAACATCAGTAGTCATTGGGGAAATGCAAATCAAAACCACAATGAGAGCCATTCTACAAACACGAGAATAGTTAAGTGTGGGCAAGGATGTAGAGAAATTGGAACCTTCAGACACTGCTGGTGGGAATATATAATGTTAACAGCTGCTTTGGAAAACAGTTTAGTAGTTCCTCACAATTATAAACATACAACTACTATATGACTTAACAATGCTACTCTTCTTTTCTCGGGTCCCAAGAGACCTGAAAATTTATGTCTACACAAACATTTGTACCTGAATGTTCATAGCAGCATATTTTTAATATGCCAAAAGGTAGAAATAACCCAATGTCCTCAACTGATAAGGAATAAACAAAATGTGGTGTCATATCCATAAAATGGAATATTTTTCAGTGATAGGAAGGAGTAAAGTACTTACTGTTACATGCTACAACATGGATAAACCTTAAAACATTATGCTAAGTGAAGAATCCAGACAGAAAAGACCACATATGTTATGATTCCAATTATATGAAATGTACAGAATAGGCAATTCTAGACAGACAGAAAATAGATTGGTGGTTGCCTAAGAATAAAGCAAAGAAGGAAATGGAGAGTGACTACTGATGGGTACAGGGTTACTTTTTGGAGTGATAAAAATGTTCAAAAATTCATTGCGGTGATGGTTTCACAACTCTGGATACAAAAACTGAATTGTGCTGTTTAAAAAAAACACTGAATTGGTCCCTGTAAAAGGGTTAATTTTATACTATGTAAATTATATCTCATAAAGCTATTATAGAGAAATTAAAAACTGAGATACCATTATTTTCTAACTCTTACTAAAAAACCTCAAATTCCTTTCATTTTCAAACTTTAAATTAATTGAATTTAATTCTAATTGTGACTTTAATCTTAAGTAAATTTTAAGCCAAATCACAATTTCTAAACCAATACCTGTTTGCACACCAGTATCCTTCCTGGGAGAGGCTGTAGAGTTGATCCATGTATTCATTTCACTGCTGACTTCATCCAAGCCATGTCTTGAATTTGCAATGTTGTCAGATGCATTATACTCCATACGTATTGTATCAACTGACAAGAGAAATAAATATCTGATAAAAATGACATAGCAGCAACTAAATACGCAAAAGACTTTTAGTTTAGTCAATGTAAACACTGCAATAAAAATTTAGGACTAGTCTAAAGTTTATTATAAAATGTCACCTGCATTCTTATCCCTTACTGAATTTAGGGAGATCACCTAATAGCTCTGTAAAAATGGGTACAAAAGTATACATTTTACCAATTATGAGGAAAATATAAGAAAATTTGTGTAAAAAGATATTGAAAAGTGTAAAACTATTTACACTCAAGGCAATTTCCCAAATAACACAAGCATTATAAAGTTAAATTAATTCAAGGTCTGAAATTCCCTTTAAAAAACTTAGTTTACAGGTGTTTAAATGTATTAAAAATAGGCAATTAAATAAAATTTTAGTTAAATGTTTACCGCCAAGATTTTTAATTAATCTAGAAGTGTCATGTCCCTTCTGAGCCAATTCTCGAATTCTCTGTTCTTGTTTCAGTCTCTGTGCCAGCTCCTGCGCTCTCTGCATCATCTGGAACAGTTCGTTTGTCTTGAGAGTCATGATTTCCTAGTAATATTGAAGTGCACAAAGTCATTAAATACAATTATCAAATATATACAGACTTGATTATTCTGTCTCAGCAGGTGTTTCCTGAGCTCCTACTATGTGCTAGGCACTATTCAAGATAATGAGAGTAGAGCACTTAACAAAACAAGGTTCCTTCCCTTTTGGAGCTTACATTTTAGTATCTCTTTCTATGATATTAGACCACAAATATAAGAACTCTTTTACCCATTCAAGTTTATACTAAAAGCTTCTAAAACAATGGTCAATTCCACCAGAATTCTCTAAGATAAAAAAGAATTAAGAGGTAAAACTCAGTATTTATGGCCATTTTTTTTTTCAATTCAAGCAAATAATACTTTGATTTTTTTTTTCAGGTATATAGTTATTTCATAGGTGTAGCTGGCTCAGTCTATTCAACATAATGATATCAGAACCTAAACTATTTGTATCTTCATCAGCTAATTTTGAAGCAAAGGCTGAAAGTGGAAAAAGGCAAGAAAAGGCAGGCTCCAGGCCCCACCTCCCAGCTCCAAGGGAAGTACTGTATGGTCTACTCTGTAAACCACACGAATCTTTGGCAATCACTGTGTAACTTGCTCTTTGCCAGGTCCGCTCAAATATGGCACTTAACATCACCATACCTACACAGCCTGTGCCACTTAATATAGGGGTTCTCCGAGCCAACGAGTATCTACTCTTTTTAATAGACCCTTAAAGGAACACTCTAACATGGCAACAAACTGTATCATCAAATCCTAGCCAAATCATTCTGCAAGTATATGCTCCTGTTCACAACTGGAAATAGACAGAAAGGCCAATATTTCTCCTAACAGATCTATATATTTATTAATACTCACTGCTTAGAAAGTATTTAAAAATTAAGCACATGGGTAACTTATGTTTTATGCTGTAATAACTCCTGACCTCCTACTTAGCACAGAGAAAAAAAACCCAAGCTGTACAGCATTTGTGAACTAATCACTTGAAATGATGAAACCTCTCCAGCTTCTCCCTTACTCTGATAGCCTTGTTTATGCAGAGCTTTAATGTTTCTGCATATAGCTTCACAATTTCAAAATATATGCAAATGTTCTGGGTTTTTTCTTTAAAAACATACCCATTTCTACTCTAAAATATTAGTTAGAATATAAATACCTACTTCCTTTCGTTTTTGCTTAAGTATATCTTCTTCATACTGTTTCTGCATCTCTTCTCGTTCCCTTGCTAAGCGACGCTCCTCCTCTTGTTCCTCCTTCTTTCTTTGCTCTTCTTCAAGCTGTTTCTTCCTGCGCTTCTCTTCTACCTGAGCAGTGATGGCTTTCTAGTCATAAATAACCACATAAATCATCATCATCACAGAAAGAATCCATGGAGCATTTGCTTGGTGTTTCAAAAATGCTTATCATAATATAGAAATACACATACAAGTAAAATCAAAATGTCAAATTTCCAATGTATTTTTCCCATCTCCCACCTGTCAAGTTCTATACACCTTTTCTTTAACCTCAGGAGGGCTGTTAAAAGAACTAACACAAAAACAACCGAAGAATTCAGTGCCACAGTTCCTAGTAAAAACAGCAGATGCTCTATAAAGGTCTGTTCACTTAACTGGTTAAAAAGTAACAATATTAACTAACCCAATTCTTCATATAGTAGAGGTTTTGGAGAATTATTAGATATTCAAGTCCTTTGAGCACTCGACTAAAATTAGGAGAGAATTTTAATCTTAGTTTCCTTTCTTATATTATCTGCTAGATTTCTTAATCATAATTCAACTTCAATACCTTATATAGTTCCCTTTCAACGAACTAATTCTCATCCTGAAGGGAATTCAAGAGTATTAGAGAAAAAAAAATTCAATACTAACTTAAGATTTAGTGTCACTTCAGACACACAACCTATGTATTAAAGACCTTGTCTCTTGGAAGGTGGCTATAGTATGTGATACTGTCTGGTTCTCAGAACAAGTATAATAATATAATGCCAGATAGAGTAGGGATAAGATTCATCACAGGACTGCACAAGACCTGTGCTTATACTGTAATTTTATACTGTAAGTTTTTACTGTAATTTTAATTTCCATTTACTTAGGTATCTAGGCCATGAATATTACTTTTTTAAGGCAAAAAACAACATTTTATAATGCAATACCTGATGTTCTAACTGTTTTTGTCGCCGCCTGTCTCGTTCCTCAATCTGAGCTGGGTCCAAAAGAGCAGTCATAGAACGTAGAAAGCTGGCAAGACAAATATATTAGCTGTTTAAAACCCCCAAAAGGTGGGTTTAACAAGGTGCTAAGTCATTTTTGTTCGGGATCTATCTACTAATCATTTCTACTTTAAAGAAAAAATAAGATACATTATAAATATAACAACAGTCCTAATACAGCACACAGACTTTTTCAAACATCATACTTAAGAATGAACTTACTTTGTTTTTTGACTGTTTGTCACAGCTGTATCTGTAACAGGTTTTGCTATGTGTTCCTCCTCTGAAGGTTCAACCTGGCTTCCAGTTGTAGGTGTACAAAGACTGCTGATATCAGCCAACTCCTGAGTGTCCGGAGAGATACAGAAGTACTCTGGTTGTTTGTGTGTTGACCGAGAAGACAGTTGAGACTGAGAACCAGGATAGCTCTTTAATGAATCAAAATGCATTGCCCATCTGTCATGTTCCTCACCCTAATCACAACAAATAAGAACTGCTAAGAATTTTTGCAGTTGTTCTCACATCTAAAATCCCAAATGACATTATTTCTAAAAGTCACCATACAGCAGAATAAGCATCATAAAAATTAACAAAACTGTGTTCTCTATTGATTCCATATATATTTCGATAACTAAGCTTGGAGAATATGAGAAATTCAAAGAATTAGGAAATTTCTAAAAAGTTAGTTAAAAGAAGCTGCACAAAACCACACTTACTAAATTCATTCAATGAAAGGTTCACAAAAGCAAATGTGGAATAATTTGAATAATACAGTCTTGTCAAATAGCTTCAGGATAATTCAAGTTTATGATCAAAGACTCTGAAATTACTTTTTCCTTTTACATCCATAAAACTTCATAAATTACCTTTGAAGATATAATTTTTTCTTCCATTTTTTTTTGCTGGTCATCTTCTATTTGCTTGTTCAATTCTTCAATCCATTTTCTCTGCTGTTCTTGCTTCATAGCACTGAAAGAGTGCTCCATCAGTACTGCTTCCTAAACAACAGTCATCAACACCACCTAAAGTTTAGTTCTCTTTTCTAACCACTTTATATTTACTAATCTTTACAAATTTACAAATCTAAAGAATTTACATAGATTTAAGTGGTAAGGCATTTATCTCTAAGAGATGCAATTTTAAACAAAAATTTGAGTATATAAGAATTAAGTAAAACAAGATTATACTGTATAGCACAGGGAAACATATACAAGATCTTGTGGTAGCTCACGGAGAAAAAATATGACAATGAATATATGTATGTTCATGTGTAACTGAAAAATTATGCTCTACACTGGAATTTGATACACTATAAAATGACTATAACTCAGTAAAAAAAGTTTAAAAAAAGAATTAAGGAGATATATTCTGATTTTCAGAATCTTATCTCTAACATTTACTAGCAGAAGGATATAGTAAGATAACTAAGTGTAAAGGAAAGGAAATTTTCTAATGAAAAATGAAAATTCTTTCTATAAAACAATTATAAGATTTTCAAAATTCTATCCTAATATATAGTCTCATTTACTTTGAAAGGAATACTGATAATTTAAAATAGATAAATATGGTTTTACACTTGGCTTCAGAATATAACAAATAATGTTTTGGACCAAGAGCCAGGAGGATGTAATACAGCCAGAGGCTTTCTCCATTCAATCATAATGTCTTTCTTGGATACCCTTCTTTTTTCCCATTTCTGCTATTACAGCCCTATCATGATCTATAACATTTCAGTTAGAAAAATATTCTGTGTCTAGATTAAGTCCTTCAATTCTAAGAAAAAAACCCAAAATATAAAAGGTAGCATAAAAATTTACTGTTGCTTTAACTTGTAAGAGTTTACTATGTTCTAACAAAAAGAAAAGAATATATTCTATTCAAATTGAAATGCAACAGCTAAGTAACATTTTGTTATATAATTCCAAGACATAATTTAAAAAATAGTTTGACAGACTACAATAGCAATACACTTCACAAGGTTACTTTCTGATCTTGTTTTTATCAAAAACATTGGCAAAGCTCACAGTTTATGACCAACTACTTTGATCAAAGGAAATATTCATACAAAAAGGAAAACTCCTAGTATCTCAAGTGCTCCTATATATTTTAAACAGATAAAAGACATCCTATTTATTTAAGCCTAAAAGAGCCACTTCAAAAGAAGCATTATCTTCAGGTAAGTGATTTAACAGTTTTTCTAGTTTTAGAAATGTTATTTTAGAGGTCAAAATGGAAAAAACAAACAAAAAACTAAATAGGTCCTTTGAACTCCTCATAAGAAATTCTCAACATGGCATTTAATCACCTTATAATTCTATAATCTGTAAGTCTGATGTAACCAGATCTGGTTTCAAATTTTAGTAGCGTTGCAGATTATTAAAGGATAAGACACTAGTCAAAATTACCCTTGAACATTCCTAAAATCCTCATAAAATATTTTATGTACGTGTTTTATATTTACAACCCTATGGAAAGCTTAATAATCAGTTCTTTCAATTCTGTCTTCAACTTCTTACTTAAGGATGTCTTACAAAGCCGTCACCACTTACTCACTTGCCACCTGAGTAATTCATTTTGCTTCTCCAACTGCGTAGAAAACTCTTTAAATTATTACTTTCTATTTTACAAGTTTTCCCCAACATGCATTTAGTGAGAGGAATGAGCGTATAAGGATTTGGGAGGTGGGAGAGGTGATAGGTAGAATGGAATCCCCCTTTTGATTACTGAGCTGATTTAGCTGAAACTGAGTAAGGCAGGTATTTGTAAAACGCAAGACACACTGTGTAACAAATGCGTTTTGACAATGATCAAGTACCTGCCTTCTGTTAAAACCTCTTCCCTTACGCTCACTTTTTCACTTTAACTTCCTCACATTATTGACCTTTGATTTTCCTTTCTCTACATAAAAACTCCTTTTCTAAACACCCTTTATGAAACTATTCTTAAGTTATATGTTTCAGTCATACACATATTCCTTTTCAAATACTTTTCATTATAGGTTACAAGATATTGAATATAGTTCCCCATGCTGTACAGTAGAAACTTATTATTTTATATATAGGTTAGTATCCACAAATATCGAACTCC